TATATGAGATATATTTGTTTTTCATTTCTAGAAACATGGAAAAAAAATCACAATATACATATTTGAAATAATAAGAACGTTCTATCTTCTACAATTTTGATGATACAATACGATGGAAACATGAACGGTTCCTATTTATTATTATTATTATTATTTTATTTTAGGTGAAAATCGAATATGTTCTTGCTTAACTTGTTTACTTTTATGATTATATTTTCTACAAGACTGAGATATCTATAGAAATAGCCAACACGCTGTCATTTGTGATATTCTACATGTCGGATATGATTATGATTTACAAGAAATGTCCAATCATAACAGTCAAATAAGAAAAAAAGTATCTTCTTTTCTGAAAGAAAAGATTTCAACTTCGAAAAAATTCTGTCTTTCTGGAAAGAAACTAATCTCCAGAATGTCAGATTGGTACGTGATGGAAGAAAACAGTATTTCCCCTACAACACGACAGATTTAGATCTAGAACGGATCTATTTTATATTATTATTCGTAAACTTTTTCACGTTAATGATATATTCTGAATCATATCCTACAAAAAAAATCTATACATTCGAAATAAAATACAGCAATTTATCATTGAAAAGCTTAAATTATCATACAGGTCCATAACTTTAGCTATGAAACTATTGTAATTCTAAATAAAAAGGGGAATAAAAAATAACTGGATTAGATAATTTAAATGCTAGACTTGTCATAAATATCTTTCTTTACTACTATTATAATAGAATTAAATTTTGTATATAAAGATAATGGAAAAGTTTTCCCTTCGGTAGTTTAATGATATTGAGTTATAAAGAAGTTAAAATATATAGTAGATGGTGGATGAACATTAAAAAGTTGAGGTTTTTATACTTAAATAAAAAAATGATAGAAATCTTAAACGATACGATGGAAGACGAAACAATTGTGCAATTTTATATATTCGGTCATGAATAATTTATTTACAAGTGCAATACATCTGCTAACATTAATGGAACTCCGGTTTTCATTCCTTTCGTTTAATGGTTCCATTAAATCGGCGGAAAAGAAAATTCGTTGATTCAGAAAAACGTTTTAATGTTTTAAAGGGAAAATTATTAAAATAAAGCAAAGAAAAAAAAAATTGCTATTTTGTTGTACCTTTGATTTTAATAGACTTAATTTTCCTTTCGTAGATTAGCCAGAAGACTATTATTAATACCTTATTTTAATAATTAATATACCTAACGAAATTAAAATAACAGCTTGTATTTTCCGGTAGTTTCTACCACAGTTAAAGGCATTAATTTTGAAAAAGGAACATGAAAAACCGAGTAGGAGGAATCGATTTTATATAAGTAACAGGAAGAAATTGAATTATTTGCCATGAATCAACCCAATGGAACAATTGTTAATCATAACATCTGCATGATCCACCGTGACATCTACGAGAATAAAATTGAGTTTTCTAAACATTAATTTCCCTAAGTGTATCGCGCTTGTCAAATGTTCTATAATAGGAAGGCTGTAACTTTTGTTAGAACAACCAACGCAGTCGTTTTCACCAAATATATGTCGTTCTGTTTCTAATTTTCTCCCCATTTCTAAACCAAATGTTAATCGTTCCCAAGCCACCGGTCCTTCATTCGAAATCTCTTCAAATCTCTTCGAGGGCGTATCTTTCGTCGTCTATCATTTTTGACAATCCGCAACGCCGCCATCGAGGGCTCATAATGACGTACGACACGAGTCATTTGTTAGCCACTCCCTATAGTAACAATTCAACATCGGGGTTCAAGCTGTCTTCGTGCATCGAAACACTGGCTGTAAAGGGTTATATTCGAAAATAATCGTTTATTAATGAAGTATTTCTTGTAAAAAAAGACGATAAAAAATATCTTAAAAGATATTTTTAACCGCTCGGGACTGAATTTTATCTCCAAAATTTTATATACCAATTATTTTCTTTTCAATTTTTGTATGCTTTACAGAAATTTGCCTAGTGTTATATTTAGTATCATTCGTGCCAAATACTATTACGAAGTGTTAGAGATCGAATGCAGAAATTTTTTACAGTTCAGTTGGTGACATGTGGTCGAGATGATGTCCTCTTCAGTGACTAATAACAAAATAGGAGAATATAAGAGGAACAGTCGAGTGGCCTCTTAAATGCGGGCGGGTGGTCAAAGTATTCCACAAATTTTTATTATTTAGAATATGAGAAATAGTCTAGACCGCACAATAATGTCTACGGCCTTTGTGGGACGACATGAATTTATTTTTATCAAACCTGTTACTTATTTTAAACATACATACTAAAGTTAGAAGTAAGTATTAACTAACCTTTTCTCTAGTGGTATGGGGATTATATAACAAGCCAAACCACGTTGAATAGTTCGCAAATTGTAGTTCCGGTACTAACTTGTCATGTTTGGTGAGCGATAGGTGTTACTTGGCATCGTTTGATGGATGGGCTTTTGTTAAATTTCCTTGACTCTTCGTCTGCCTTACGCAAGTTGTCGATTGACTCCGCACACTTTTGGACAGATGTGCTTTTTTTATAATAATATATTTCTATTGTTCTTTGCGACGTCTACAAATACTAAACTTAGCAGCATCTGGCTTTGAACCGAAGTTCAACTCGTTTATACAAATATAAATTTACAATGACAAAGAATAGACCCATACAGTGAACTGTATATAACATATATTCACAACTAATGCGCATGTATATATAATATAAAGATTTAGTTTTTCAATACGTTTCAAACTATGTAGGGCCTAAATAACGTTTTTGAAAAGTATTGGAAAAAAATTGAGTGTTTAATCTCTCAATATACAAGAAAATTGCTTCAAGATATGTAAATAACATTTTAATAAAACGAACAAGTACAAAAGTATCTTTAAAAAACAAATTAAAAATAAATAAATAAAAAGTCATTTGAGTAATTTGAATTTTTAAACTATAATTGTAATTATAAACGAGCAATTATTTATTGTGACATCGTCACAATACCAAAATTTTTTTATCATATTTTTAATTTATTTAATTAAAAATATATGTAGTAGTGTGTTGCCTCTGTATATCATTCTTTACCTGCTAGCAAAAGAGTAAAGAGTCGTGCCGGTCATCTATCTAATTTTTTCAGAGGAAATTTTTTGAATTGAATTTCGTGTCTTACGGAAGTACGTATATAATTAATCGGGTGCCTCCTATATCTAAGCTTTTCACATCTGGTCTTGACTTTCATCTATCTAACTCCGTTCTTGAGATTAAGGAAGGACAGACAGACGGACGACAGAGGGAATTTATAAGTCTACAATTTTTTCAAATTGCAACCCAATAATTAATCAAATGATTACAACGGTTTATACTAATTCTGAGTTTTGTTAATGTTAATCAATTAAATGCATCGTATGAACATTATCTTATAGATTAAGGTTAATAATTGAAATGCAGATAACCGTACCCTTATTTTTACTATTCATTCCTCTTAAAAAATATTGTAAACATTGAGTAAATTTAAATAAAGTAGTTTTTGAAAAATAAGATAAACTGAAATATTTAAAAAATAACAGATGACATTGTGAATATTTAATCTGAAGTTTCTGATTTTTATTCTAAATCCCTCTTTTACCTTCAAAATGTCCTCTATTATTTGATCTTTTTTCATATTTAATTAGTATAATACAGCAATTATCTCAAGACTTAACCTCTTTACCAAAAACAGAAAATAATATAATAAACACAATAAATAAATAAATGCGATAAACAAGGAATTAAATTGCTTTCCAGAACGGCAATTCACATTTTGATGTTAAAATTATCAACTCGTCTTAAACAAATTAATTCTCTACAAATATAATACAAACGTTTAGTAATTAAATTTGTTGGAAGATTTATCGAACTGTTCTATCAAAATCAATGTCATTTATTCATTTTTTCTAAACAAAAGCTTCCGACACAAAATAATTGAGTCCCCCTAACACACATTACCGCTAATCTCTTTCCCATCCATATTAAACCCACTAGATGTCGCTAGCGTAGAAATGACGTCAAACATCCGCCAGCGGCACGTGACCCTCCACGCGTTCTAACGAGGTTCACACGCTCCTCGTGCATTGATGCTGGGCACGTGGCACGTAACCATGACAACTATGTTATTTGATTGGCTGAAAAGATTTTGTTTCCAGTGAAAAGGATTGGAGTCAGGTTCACACGATTCTAAATCCAACGCAGCATTTAACACTGTGACGTTTACTGAATCCATTAAAAAAAAAATATTGATAAATATAAATAAATGAATAAATAAATAAAAATTCCCACGCTTCATACAAAAATATATAAGGAAGGATGCACTTATCTATGTTATCTGCATCACAATGACGTTTAAATAATTAAATTATAATCTAATAATTAATTAACATCGCACTATGTTAATTTCATTTGTCTATTTAAATTAGAAATTAATAAGGTGTTATTAAATTACATATTAAGTTAAAGCTATATAATTCTGCACAGTGTAATAAAATATTAACACATATAACGTAATTAGCATGAATTATCATAATATATTAATAATAATTGAGTGTCATTAACATAAATTATAAAACTCATTACAAATTTAGCTTAAATTCTGTGTTATTTATAGCGAAACAAGTATATAATAAGATTAATTATCGATGTTTTTTTGCTTTTGCTCTGGCGCCATACTTTATGAGGACGTAATGCTTTCACTGCAATTCACGCCTGCCTGACAGGAAGCTAATATAGAAATTAAACATTGTCATACGTCGATATGTTTCTATCAGTAGCATTTAATTCTTCGTAATTAAATCAAGAAGACGAGTAAAACTAAATATAGAACGTTTTAATTGTTGTTTTAAGTGTGAGTAACGTCCCGATCGATGAATTATTGGAAATTCTCTACGACAATACAAAAAGACAATAACTAATTGCTAATAGAAAGAAACGGGGTTGGAAAAAGAAGCGCACGTTTGCCACGTGACCATCGACCAATCACATGGACGCTAGGTGGTTTAGACGGTGGCGCGTGAGTTGGTGTGTCGTCAGTCGGGAGACGGTCGGTCGTGTGTTTCGGACTTCCGTCACGTGGACCTGGTGGCTTGGATATGATGAAAAGAACTGTCAGCGATATGGAGTCGGACTGCGACGACGTTTTTGCGGAAGATTCACCAAAAGGGTAGGTCACGTGTCTGGAATAAGAACATCTCTGATTGGATACGTCGTTAGAGCATGCCGTGTTCTTGTCTTTAATTGTCTTTCCAGAGATGTTCCCTCGTTTGTCCCATTTGATAAATTTTTCCCCCATTTCTAAAAAGTTCTTTGTCTTTTTTTTAGAACTCCGACTCAAAGTAACGAAAGTTGTCAATTATTAAACAGGAAAAGAAGGCGCGGGGTAATGATATTGTTATTTTCCTTTTATCTTTTTTAATGAAATTTTCTCTCATGTAATCCTGTTTAAAATTTTATTTTTTGCAGATTATCGAAAAGAGAAGACGAGATAGAATTAATAATTCTTTATCAGAATTGAGAAGGTTAGTCCCTGCAGCATTTGAAAAACAGGTAATTTAATATTTTAACTCATAGAATTTACATTAGACATTCTTTTATATATTATATATTTAAAAGAAAATCGTTTTTAGGGTTCTGCCAAGTTAGAAAAAGCGGAAATCCTTCAAATGACCGTGGATCACTTAAAAATGCTGCATGCTAAAGGTAGAGATTTATTTCTAAAAGTACAATTTTTAAGATCGCTATCGAATTTAGATTTATTTTATTTAATATTTGATTCAAAATTCTAATAATCTGGAATTTTCGCCAAATGATTCACTTCCATGCATTTTTATTATATGTTATTCTTTTTTTAAAAAAAGGAATGTTTTAAGTTAAAAATTCTAATTTCTTTTAATTGTTTGAACGGTAATTTTTAAATATATTTTGACGAATAAATATTCTTAAATTAATACTTTAAATTCTGAATAAAAACGTTCAATAATAAACATTAAATTTATCAAAGGAAATAAAAGAAAAAAAAATTGACTCTACAGTTATATAAATATGAATTTGGGCTTATAAATTAATTATTATAATCTTAATATTATAGAAATTATCCACACATTTCTAATTTAAGCGTACACAATTTTTTCTTTATACCTCAACACGTGTTATTGTTTAATCCGATTATAAAAGAACAATTATAACAAAACACCGTAGAAAAACTTATTAATAATTTAATTATTATACATTAAAAGTTAACTTTATATATATATTATATATATAAGAAATAATAATAATTTACCTTTGTATTTAGGTTTCGATGCTTTGACTTTCGATCCTCATAAATTTGCTATGGATTATCACAACATTGGTTTCCGAGAATGTGCTTCCGAAGTAGCTCGTTATTTGGTAGCCATCGAAGGAATGGATTTACAGGATCCACTCCGTTTACGCTTGATGAGCCATTTACAATGCTACGCCGCCCAAAGAGAACTGGCATTAAAATCCGCATCCGCGCATAATCCTTGGAATTCTCCCTCCACATTCGGCACCATCCCTCCACCAGCTCCATCTCAGTATCCCGCACCATCTATGACATCTCAGTTGCATCCCTCGTCGGCACCGGCTCCCATGCTAACATCTGAAGCGCCGCCACCCATATCCGTCAGTTCTCCTTACTGTTCCGAATCCCGTCCAGTACAGTTACCAATGGAAGAAAATATGCACCACGGGCACCACTCTATGCCTCGCGTCTCTTCGTCTCAGCTCCAAACAACTATGTCTACATCCAGTTTGGCAGGGGGAAGTTCGACGATGATGACACCACTTTCTCAGATGCCACCTAATCAGTATTTTTCCGGACACGGATTCTCTTCCGCAGGAAATTACGGCCCCACTACACCTTCGCAAAATACACCTCCTGCTGTGAAACCTTATAGACCTTGGGGAGCAGAATTAGCCTATTGAAAACACTACTCCGAAACTTAATTAGCAATAAAGAACTTGTATCTTTATTTTTTCTAGTCAGGAAAGAATATTTTTCTAGTCACATAAGAAAAAAAAAAAAAAAACATTGTTAAGATACCAACGATGCCTTTTCCTAATATTATTAATAGTATATCATTTTGTACATAAAATGTTTTCTATTTTTTCTACTATACGTTTAAATATAAATATATATTTATATATAAAAATAATTGTACGCTATACTGTCATGCACAGAATGTACTGTTTACATGCATTCGAAAAAAAATTGTTAAATACAACTGTTAATAAAAAAAATATTTTTTAATCTAGTCATAAATCATGCCTTTATCTCATTATATGGTTAAAATTCACAAGAAATGGTTTTAAAAATAATAATAAATAAATACAGAATCGTAAAAAATACTACCTATTCGAAGATTTACAGGTATAATCATTCATTTAAATTTTCACTGTGTGTCATTTCTCTAATTACCTATATTTTACAGTAAAATTTATGTAAATCGGAATACCACGGTACAGTAAACCTGTCCAAAATGGAAATCTGATTAAACGGGAAAAAAATATTCGAAACGGAGCGATTTTCTATGTTAAAAAAACGATGTAAATCGGAAAAAATATTCGGTACAGCGCGATTCCGGTTTACACAAGTTTTACTATGCCATATATTTTTTCCGACTTGACAGGTTTCTATTATCAACAGGCTTTTTATAACATCGTTTCGAATTTTTTCGGTTTAGGCAGGTTTCCGTTTTGGACAGGTTTTACTGTATAATTAAATTTTGGTAAACAAAAATGTATATAAAGTGATAATCGTGGGAAAAAATTATTTTTTGTAAATATCTACTATTTATCAACAGTCTATTGTTTGCGAGCAATAGGCATGTGGAGGAGTCAGGTGACGTGGTGTGACACCGAGACTTCAGCCGTTCCCACGCTTGCTAGCCACGCGGCTATTGTGTAGATCGGCTATCTTCTGGGTGACTCTAACCTACGTAATACTCTTTTCGTCATTATTACACATATAGTATTACCTAGTCCAATAATTAATTAAAATTAATAACAATGGTAACATAATTATTACTGTTTTAAGAACATTATAAATTAGAAAATTAACTATTTTAAATCATTAGACGCATTTTCTGTATTATATAGGCCTATTGTATACATTGCATTTATATAGACCTATAGGGGATGAGAAAAGGCAGACCCGATGAGAAGATTATTATATAAATTGTAATAAAATAACCAAATTCGCCAAAATTAAACATAGTCAAATCAAAATTGTTATTATTTTCTCCTTTAAATTATTTCTTGGAGCCATTTTTAATCTGTAAACCAACGTAGAACAATACAACACCGTATCAGAATTTGAAACCATTTGAATGTTATTCTACTTTGAAATGTTTAAAGGTTATGAATTAAAAGAATAAAGCGTTTAGACCAAAATGATAGCAAATTTAATCTATTAATAATTTATAAAATCCAATCATTAATTATCATTAATTCAAAAATTATAAACTTTATAGAACTTATATCTATCGGCCATTGCTTCTTATAAAACAATAGAAATTTTGAAATTAGTATTAGAGAAAAAACTATTAATTATTCGTATATTTATTCTTATTAAATTTAAATACTAAAATTTCTATCAGATACAGTCAAACCTTTAAAGATAGGCTACTGAAGGAGTATAAAAGATGGCCGATATTCAGAGATAGCCTTTGTTAGGTAATTTTATATGCATTTTTTTTTTTTTTTTTTTGTTTTTAAAAGCAAAGTTCACGGAAAAATGGCCAGTATTTAGATGTGACAGTTATTATAGATTTGACACTGTAGTGCACGTTTCATGCTAATTTTATATACAAAGATTAATAGTATACTACGTTCTACGTTGCAATAATATTTGCAACGTAGAACGATAACAGAAACATAGGAATAGGAATGCTATTTGATAATAATATATCAATTTATCAAAACATTAAATATTTATTCTAAAAAATGAAACGTAATAAAAACATTTAGTCATTGGAGGAATGACCACAAAGAAACTTGTTATACTTCTCTACAAAATCATATTCTATCGGATTGAAATCAAAAGCATTATCTTAATGTTCATGCAGGGCATTTTACAATTTCGTGAAAAATATCGATTAAATTGAAATTTCTTTAATTTTCTATGCGGAAGTGGCTATTGAATAATGTAATTTAAACAATTCTGTACGACAAAATAAGAGCGCTCAACCGTCCGTTAATTGTGCAGACAGTCCGACGTGTTCGCTGTGTTTGGCATTTGTCCGGTTTTTTCACAGATAATTCTAATTTCCGTTTTTCTTACAATTATTGGGCTTAAATTTGTAAAAAAATTGTAGATCCCAATAAATTCCCACTGTCGTCCGCCCGTCTATCCTTCCTTGATCCCGAGAATGGAGTTAGATAAATGAAAGTCGAGACCAAATGTGAAAAGCTTAGGGGTAGGGAACTCTCGATTAACTATATACGAATCGCCAGTTTGCAACGAAAGTCACGTTATTTCAATTCAAAATTTTTCCCTGTAACATGTTACACAGATGACCGGCGAGACTCTATTGCTAACAGGAAAAGTATGGTGTACAGGGGCAAGAAACTATTCATTTGCTATGAAGAGCATATATTTTAAATTAAATTTAATTAATTAAAAATATGATTAAAGATTGCAGACCATTGTGACGATGTCATAATAAAGGTAAAAAGTAATTGTCTCCCGTGAAAAAATAAATAGTGCATATTCTCGACGTAAAACAAGAAACTTAGAAATTCTAAGTACAAAAAACACATCATTATTGCTTTTTGAATTTTTTCAAAACAAAAAATATAAACAACAGCAATTATATGTTTAGAGGAATCGCTGTTCTATACTACACTGTGTTAATATAATGAGTGCAAAATGATCGAAAGTACGGTACATAATAGATGCGTTAAAATAATCTTATATAATATTTAACAATTTATTTTACCATTTCTGTACACCTTGCACTAAAGAATGCCTTCAAAATGATCAAAACCACTATATTTCGATTAAAATTTTAGCTGTCAGTCTTTTTTGGGCAAATGTCAGCTTTTCTGGCTATGATATGAGCTCTTTTAAAATCCCAGGTTGAGAAGTCTGCAAAATACTGTTACAAAAGACAAAGAACGGCCTTCGCTTGATGGCATGTTTTTAATCTAATGAAATTCTGGTCTATTTTTTCGGTAGAAGATTCCATTAAAATTATTTTAATTTGTATTTTAAAGAATGTTTTAAGTTTAATTTAGTGTATAGTTTTGTTATGGCATTTAGAAAAATACCTATTACAATATGGATTTTAGATTGACAAAAAAAAAGTGATTTGTGCCAGATTAAATTAATAAAAATTCTGTTATTACAGGGATAACTTTAATGCTGAGTTCCATCATAGGATCGTATTCTACAAGGTGATAAATAAAGTCACTTAACACCCATGCTACAGAATATAGAATTTAACCAAAATTAATTTGCTCATATCAGGAACACATTAGACCAAGAGGGAAACAAGTCGGTGTGTGTTACACACACGGTCGCCATTCTGATGGCAGCCATATTGAATGCAATTCCGAAATTTTAAATGGGAAGGGGATCATGTGACACATCATTTAGGAAGGAACTGATTGCTGAAAGATTTATTGACTGATTTCAAACGGTTACAGTTATTAGTGTGTTTCCTTTGTTGCTACAGGTTGAAGAACAGACATCACAATGCCCCTAACACAGGAATAACGCATCAAAATCATCCTGCTGGCAGGGAAAAGAAGTTCCGAGGTTATTGCACAGACCTGAACGTTTCTTATCATAGATCTATGCAGTCTCCCTGAATTTCTGGAGTAGGTTGGTAACTGCTACGTGTGACACAGGCACTTAGGGAGGATGACATTCATTAAAATCTTATAAAATGGAACTTATTTCTCCTGCCAGCAGGATGATTTTGATATTCCTGTATTAGGGACATTGTGATGTCTGTTCTTCAAAGGAAACACATTAATAACTGTAACCTTTTGAGACCGGTCAATAAATCTTTCAGCAATCAGTTCTTTCTGAAATTATGACTCTAAATGATGTGTCACATGACCCCCTTCCCATTTAAAATTTTGGAGTTGCATTCAATATCAAGAGGGAAACAGATCGACGTGTAACACACATCGATCTGTTTCCCTCATGGCCTAATGTGTTCCTGATATAAGCAAATTAATTTTGGTTATATTCTATATTCTGTAGCATGGATGTTAAATGACTTCCTTTACCACTCTGTACTATCTTTTCCTTCAAATTCTGGGCCATTCGAAACACTTCAACAAATTTTTTAAGCGTCCACGCTGCTGGTTCTAGTTTAGTATCTTCATCAGTGTCTTCTTTCTCTGTAGACGATCTGACGAACTCTTTTAATTCCTCGTATGTCAACACTTTGCGATGTTTTTTAGTATGATCTATCACTTCTTTCTCTATCTTATCGACAAATCTCTCGCCATCAACTTGTCTTGTTGTTTGAATTATTTTTCTTACTTCTGTGTCAATTCTAGGAAAGCCTTAGAAATCACGGACAGAATTACTCCACGAATTCTTCCAGCATGCTATTACCCTTTTCTGGTTTTAATTCACCCATTGCTCCTTTGATGAAGACAATTGCATTAGCAAAGGTGAATGATTTCCAACAGTTCAACATCAGGAGCGGCCTCAATCAATGCTCAAATCATATCGAATATCTGTGGAGTATATGAGGCTTTGACGCATCTAATGACACCCTGGTCGAATGGCTAATGCAATGAAGTCGTGTTTGATGATAAAAATAGTATCAATACTTGAACATTTCATCTTCGATGCTGAGCTTTCAGGTGCATTATCTATTATCAATAAAACCTTGAATGGTAATCCTTCTTACTCCAAATATTTCTTCACTTCAGGAATGAAGCATTTATGAAACTATTCGGTGAATAGCCACGATTCATGCGTTGAATTATACTCAGGGCTGTGAAGTCGCGTAAAAATCTACCGACTCCGACTCCGACTAGGGGCGGATTTGTTACCGAAAGAAACCCTGAAATTCTGATGTCATCACGTGACCTCAGAATAAAAGATTCAATAAATAGAGTTCTAATAAAGATAGAACGTAGAAACTTTTTATTCCAAAGCTAAAAGACTTCTCTAAGTAATATATAAATATGTATTCGATAATTTTTACTTTTCCGGCTGTTATATATAACAGTGGAAAAGTGTAGCGCTCGCTCAAAAAATGACCCCTCCCAAATTTTTACAT